AAAAATCCCTGTACTATAGTACAGGGACTTTTGTCCAATTTTGGAGCAACTTTAAAAAATCATAGAAAATCACAACTTGATTAGAATCAGCTGAATCTTTCTACACAGCATAAGAACATCAATATGCAACAGAAAATGTTATAAAAATTTGGAGTGATTGATTGGCCATTTTTGTAAAGATGGTATGTTACTTACAGTAAGTTGGCCCATTCCTTTACACAGGAGGTCTGCGCATGCACAGTAGACACCACTCAACCTTCTGCACATGCAAAGAAGTATTGCGCAATCTCCTTAATTCATTTATTAATAATACATTCTTTGAGTAATAATGACACTACTACCATCATCACACCTAATAGTTAGCTAAATAGTCATTGTTATTCTTATAATAAACTTGATACTACACTAAAATACAGGTAAAACAGTCCACACATCACACAGTTATTAAACAGTCGTATGTACAGTAATGTTGTACAATTAAAAAGATATAATGAATAAAAGCTGTCCTATCTTGGTAAAAGATGATCTATCATCTTGAAAAAGAGTAAAACTTCATTAGTGTATATCAAAGTCCATCTCACTATAAATAGAACAGTAAAAACACTAATATACTGCAGTTAAAACAGTATTGTACTGTATTTTAAACAGTACTTTACCTAATTGTACATGTTCAGTAATACAGTAAAACTCATGCTTATGAGTTATACATACACAATATTATATACAGTATTGATCTATAGTGTAATTACAGTTGTAATGGATGAGGTAAGCCTCGGACAGGCCAGGATTGTGTACAAGTCCCCAATAATAGTGAAAGACGGCCCGTCGCCCAAAGATATCGAGAAAAAAAGGTCCTTTAATATTTTAAGTCCCAGCCAGAGTCAATTTGTTAACAAGAATAAGTCTCCTTGCACTAGACATCTTCACTAGTATGTAGGATGGGCCATAATCATTAACCACACCTACCAATTAACTCAGACCTCCTCAGCTCGAGCAGCTTTTAGGTTGGCCCATTCCTTTATAGAGGGATCTGCGCATGCGCAGCAGACAATACTGGCCACACCCACCAATTAATTAACTCAGACCTCAGCTCGAGCAGCTTGCAGGTTGGCCCATTCCTTTATACAAGGGGATCTGCGCATGCGCAGATCACAATTAATTGAAAGGCTATTGTACGGGCAAGCCCAGGTCATGACATGGGCTTGCCCGGGGCATGCATGGGCTTGCACTGTGAGCAATCCCTTTGATGTATTGCGCAATATCCGGTCACTAGAAGATCCTCCTCAGCTCGAGCAGCTTTCAGGTTGGCCCATTCCTTCATACGGGGGATCTGCGCATGCGCAGTAGACAATACTGGCCACACCTACCAACCTTCTGAGCATGCTAGCTTATCTGAAAAGGTTGGTGGGTGTGACCAGTAATATAGAATATTTTCAAAGTTTTAGTGAGAATTGGTGTACCAAATTCTTTAAAAAACTATTAATACTCTTAAGTCCCAGCCAGAGTCAAGATTGTAGCAAGAATAAATCTCCTGTAGACATTTCATTGGAATTAATCACATGAATTAGCTCAAACTTCTACACAGCATAAATACATGTATATGCATCAGGAATTGTAATAAAACTAAGGAATTTTCTACTTGTCATTTTTTGTGAAATTTTACAAAAATCCCTGTACTATAGTACAGGGACTTTTGTCCAATATTTGAGCAACTTTAAAAAATCATAGAAAATCCAAACTTGATTGGAATCA